AAAAAAAAAAAAAAAAAAAAAAAAAAAAAAAAAAAAATACAGATAAAGAAACAGATACAGATACATAAAAAGAACGCATTAGATGGCAGGCACACAAAGCGTTTTTTTCAAATTTTGTGAAATGTGCAAAAGGCCTGCAAAGGAGCTAAAGACCACTTTTTGTGCCCTTCGATCGAATTTCCAGGCTCACCCTATCATACGCGCGATCTCACAAGACGATTCGTAATTTTCCAGGCCGCATGTGTGGCCCCTCTCCCCCTGGGCGACTGAAATGGGCAAGTGTTCCCACATGATGCCTCCTCATTATATATATATATGTATATATATGTATGTACACACGTGAGGGCACGCGAAGCCTAAGTCCGGCTCAGTGTGACCACCCCCCTGAGCATGCGTAGAGGAAGAGGTAGCCTTTTAGTTTACTCACGTTTTTCACTGTGTTAAAGGGGAGGAGCATTTCTGCAAACATGATGGACGTCGTGCGGGAAAGGAATAGGAACTTTGACCTGCGCGATTCGTATGAAGGACGGAGTCCTGCGGAGACGGAACCGCACAGCGGTAATAGTGGCGGTAGTGGCAACAATGGGAGTAGCGGAAACGAGGCGTGCGTGGACATCAGCAACGAGAGGTATATCATCTGGAGGAGGAACACGCCATTCTTATACAACGCGCTTCTAAGGAACAAGCTGGAGTGGCCCTCCCTGACGGTCGAGTTCATAGGAGTGGATAACTCCTTCAAAGCCAAGACGAATTACTTCACAAATAAAATTCTGCTCGGCACACATACGTCTAATCAGGATTCAGAATACGTGTACATTGGGGAGGTAAAGGCTCCCCTGTACTCAACAAAGGAGGACGTGTTGCAGTTTGAAAATTACACAGGGTTTATTAACAATAAAAAGAAAAAAAGGGGCTACCCACTCCCTTCCTTTGAAGTAAAAGCCAAGTTACTGCACCCAGGAGAAGTCATAAGAGCTACTCACCTACCAAGCAATTCGTTTTTTATTGTAACCCAGACATGCAATGGAAATATATTATTATTTGATTATACGAAGCATCCTTCGTTCCCCTCAGATACATCCACGTGCTACCCTCAGATGATCCTCAAGGGACACAACAGTGAAGGTAGTGGGTTATGCTGGAACATTAATCGCGTGTATGATAGCTGTTCCAAACAAAGCAGTACGTTTAAGGAGGAGGTCGACCCTGATGCGACGGAAGCAACAGACGGGACTAATACGAAGGGTACAACGGAGGATGAAGCAAATGAAGAAGAGAGTAATGAGGATGGCCTTGGTGAAGTAAACATGAGCAACTTACTTCTGGCCTCGTGTGCGTCTGATGGAAGTATATGCCTCTGGGATATAAACAAAGGAACGAAGAGTAATGAAGTACCCAGGACATATGGAATAAACAAAACGGGGAAAAGTGCTGATTATAATCTTAGGGTTTACGAAAATACACCAACCTTGAGTCCTTTATGTACGTGGATACATAAAAATGAAGAGACGTCCCTGAATGATATTTTTTTTCATCCCAAGTTTAAAAATGTCTTGGGGGTTTGTGATGACAATGGGTATATGAGTTTGTATGATGTGAGGAGCAAAACATTTTTTTCGAAAGCGGAATTAAATTTTAAAGATCGTGATGCACCCATGAACACTTTTTCATTTGATACTTTTTCTGAATACACTTTTTGTTGTGGGTATGCAGATGGGTTAGTTTCCATTTGGGATTTGAGATACGAGAAGGGGTCTCTTCTTCAAATAGACTATCACACACAGAGTATTAATCGAATTAAATTTTGCCTGATGCAGTCAGGCATTTTTGGATCCTGTTCAGATGATGGCACAGCATGTATTTGGGACATTTCGAGGAACTCTTTAAATTATTCTCATGTACAAAAACTCGAGGATGATATTTATAATAATCCTAAGAAGATCCCAAAGCAGCTGCTCTTTGTCCATGGGGGTCATGTTGGAAGTGTGTATGACCTTTCTTGGGCCAACTGCAACACCTTGTTGGTGGCCACCGTGGGCGTGGACAACTCCCTCCAGGTGTGGCACATGAACGAGCAGTTCCTCTTTCAGTGATGTAGCGGTGGCGAAGCGGTGGCGTCGTAGTGGCGACGTATTGGCGTCGCATTGGAGGGCGCAGGAACTCTTCCCGGATGGCCAAATGGGGACATGTTCAAGCACACACGCCCCTTCCCTTTCAACGTAAGAACACACACATGTGGGAGAAACCCACATCCCCGTGCTTCCCACAAAAAAAAAGGCTCAGGGATATGCTAGCCGTTGGGGGAATTTTTTTTTTTTTTTTTTTTTTTTTTTTTTTTTTCTTACATTGCCAGGGCGTATGCCAGCGAAAACGAAAACGCTAGTGTAACTTGCTGTGACCAATATATGCGCATTGCAACTCACCCGTTCCTGACTCTTCTCAACGTTTTCCCGAATGGACAATTCTTAACGCTTTCCCAAATGGACAATTCTTAACGTTTTCCCAAACGGACACGTGTAAAAAGGAGGGAAGGACTTGTTCACCTACCGCCCGAATCAACCCCCCACTCGGTCACACGATATTCCATTTTTCTTTCCACATGAAAAATTTCCTTTTAAACAAAAAAAAATGTTTTCTTTTAAAGGTAAGGTGTGATTTTTTTTTTTTTTTTTACCCCTGGAGAAAAAGACGTCTTCTTTTAAACTTCAATCCGTCTGGTACGTCGCGCCGATTGGCGGAGGAGCACTCGCTCAAGACACGCACGTAAAGCGCACAAGTGCGCCAGGGCAATCGTAACAAATGCTGAAATGGGAAAAGGGGTCCCCATTTGGAACTGCTACGCAGGTTCGCGGAATGACCGCGCTGGTCCTTTTCCTCATCGTGAGACTCTACATCGTGGTTTGGCGAGGTGTCCTCCTCCCCCCCCTTCTTCCACAAAAGATTTATTTTGGTGTGCTTCTCTCTCTCTCTCTAACTATACTCATTTCACATTAGGCGAACTTTTCCTCAAATGATCACCCCGCTGCTACTCATTTTTTTTTTTTTTTCTGCGTCCCTGTGCACATTATAAGTCCAGTAGAGCTCATCACATATGATGACAAACGATACAAGTGAAGACGCCACCGGGGGAGAAAACGAGAACGGCCATGAGAATGTAAAAAGTACAAGTGATGAAGAGGACATAAAATATAAAACACCAGACACGCACACAAATTTTTGGAAGTCTTTCGGGCTTGGTACCAAGGCAGGGAAGCTCCTTTATAACTTGTATGGGGAGAAGAGCAAAATAACCCCCGCCCTGATCAGGACGAAGAGGGCTACTAAGGATGATGCGCAGATGAGTGAACCTGTTGAAGTGGAAAGGAGGACTCGTCCTCAAGTCAGCTACTCGGAGTTCAAAAGTGGGTGCCCATTACGAGGGTGTGGGGCATCTCTCCCCAGGGCGCAGCCGCTTTTGCTACCTCTGCATAAGTGACCTTCTAACCCGGTCAGCTTCTAATCTCGCCAATTGACACCACCCCCCCGCAGAGCCCGCCCCGAAGGAACACCCCATAGACGCAATACCGCACAGGAAGCCGCTGGCGAAAATTTTGGAGGACACAAAAAACTACGAGTGCATAAAACAGCTTCCTGCACGAATTGAACAGAATCGAAATTTGGAAAAAAAAAAACTCAGCGAGCTTTTCTTTGGTTACAAATGTAAAGTCCTTCCCCCCAGTTGCTCTCTAGCTGTCTTAACAGACGAGGAGAGAAGGGAGGCAATACAGAGTGCAGAGAAAACTTTTTCTGAAATGAGGAATTCCAGTTGCAGGGAAGAAAACATTAAGGAAGGCATGAAGATGTATCAAGCCGAGCTGATGACGGAACTGAAAGAAAAGGTCGATCAGTATAATCAGCTGGTCGCCCTTGGAGTGCAACACAAGGAAGGGGCCGCTCCGACCGAGAAAGAGTGTAACGAATATAATTATAAAAAAATTCAGCTGTGCAACGAAATTGAGGATTGCAAGAGGAACATTCAGAAAACGAACGCTGTGTTGGACGGGTCCAAGTGAGAGGAGCGTGTACAAAGGCGAAGGGCACATACTTTAGGGTAATCCCTTCGAAGGTGTGTTTCCCCTTTCTGCTTACCACTGGACAACTGTCGCAGGGGTTGAGACTTCACTTTGTGCTGCCCCGTATTTATTTTATTTATATATATATATATATTCTTTTTTGCTACTGTGGGGCGTACGCAAGCAGTCCGCTTTGGTGTGTACTGGGTGAGGAGCCTCCACCCAGGGGGTCCACAGAAGAGAGCAGGGCAGCAAAGCGGTAGGGCGGCGGGATGACCCCAAGTCGTGCATACGCGTCACCTCTCCCCCATGCACACACACATAGTGGCACTTGGGTTAGACTTTGAAAAGGGAAGCAGCAGAATGTTTTTCCCCCTCCCTGAGCCAGCTCGCTGCCTTCCAAGTGTTATTTGATCGGGAGGGGGGGGCACTTAATTCACCATCCATCCCTCACGCGAGTTGCCTTTTTTCATTGCGCCTTTTTTAACTTTGCCTTTCGTTTTTTTTTTTTTTTTTTTTTTTTTTTTTTTTCTTTCCCTGGCGCGGAACACAAACCGGGTCATATGCTATACAATACATGCAACATGGGGATTTTTTTTTTTTTTTTTTTTTTTTTTTTTTTTGTCTTTTTGTCACACGAGCTCGGAGTTATCACAACCACAATTTTGCTTCACTGTTACAACGCCGCTAAATGTTGCGCTTTTTATTTATTTATTTAATTATTTAATTCCATTGTGTGCGTCTATGTGGAGACGTCTTCCCTAAGTGAATCGTTTACTCTTCCCAGGAGGAAGGGGACCCCCGTCTCATGGTGACACCACTCCTTTTGTGTCATCAGTGGCCCATCACACCACGTAAGACAACACATATATAGAAGGCATAGTGGACACGGTGACAATTGCATGCACAAAGGGGACAGAACGATCGCGTCCCGCCAGTGTGTCGCCCCGCCAGTGTATCGCCCCGCCAGCGTGCCGTTTTGTTAGCGTAACACCCACATCACAAAAGGTGAGCACCCTGGAAGGGGCGACTGCGGCCGGAACCCACGTTGCACCTGTAGGCACTGGCCAAGACCAAAGACGAATGCGAACGCGCTCCGCTCCACCTCATGGATTCTGTTAACAAGTGTGTCATTGGGACGAAGATCTTCGTCAGGGATAAACAAAAGGTAAGTCTTTTTGCCGGCCATGGAAAGAGGTCTCCGTTGCGTGGTTATATGTGTGTCGTTTGCTAGGCTGTCTGTCCGTGCCGCATCCTTTTTGCTGCCTCCTTTTTGCTTCCCCCTTTTTGTTTACCGCCTTTTTGAGGGCGTTTTGTTGTTTGTTCCCTATCCCACGCGACGTGGATGGCACAAACGACTTAGCTTCCAGTGCCTTAACCGCTTGCGCTTCCGCTTCCGTCTCACATCAGGTGTGGGTCTGCGCCGAAATCATAAAGGAAGAAACGGACCTGGTGGCCAAGACAGAGGATGACGAGATCGTTGTTCTGAAGGAGAAGGATGAGTTCTACCTTAGAAATTTGGGTACGCATATGTGTGCGTCACGATCATTACAGGGTGGCAAGGGTGGGTAGTCCAAACATACCCCCAAAAAATGTGATTCTCCCCCCCCAAGAGGATATGCCCTTATGATGCTACATTTTTTGCTGTGTCTTCCCCCCCCCCCCTAGATGTATTCGATTCGAGTGGCGTTTCAGCCCCCGCGGACTTAACAAATCTGACTCATCTCCATGAAGCATCCATTCTACACAGCCTGAATGTGCGATTTGATATTGATGAAATATATACTCTTACTGGACCGATTCTAATAGCTGTGAACCCATTTAAGGTCATTCCAGATTTGTACTCTGACGATATGCTCGCTAAGCATGTACAACCGATTCAGTCAAAAAGCCCCCACATTTTTTCCACGGCGAATAGTGCCTACCTTGGGATGTGTCAACATAATAAACCTCAAACGATATTAATAAGTGGAGAGTCGGGTGCAGGCAAGACTGAGTCTACCAAGTACGTGATGAAGTTTCTTGCTTGTGCAGGATCAGACGTTAAAAATAAATCCCTTATTGAATGCCAAATATTAGAAAGTAACCCTTTGCTGGAGGCGTTTGGAAATGCCAGGACGTTGAGGAATGACAACTCGAGTCGATTTGGCAAGTACATTGAACTGCAGTTTTCTTTGGACCGCAGGGGGAGGGGTCAGTACTACACCAAGGGGAAATTGTGCGGCGCCAAGATTAGGACCTACCTTCTGGAAAAGGTGCGGGTTTGCTACCAGCAGGAGGGCGAGCGCAACTACCACATTTTCTACCAGCTCTGCAGGGCCGCCAGGGAGGCGATCAGCGAAGCGGCGGAGCAGGAAGCGGCCAAGGGGGAAATAGAGGCGGACGCAGCGGGGGAAGCCGCAGACGAAGTGCACACCCCACGCGAGTACCGCTTCCCCGCCACGGAAAAGTACAGGGACCCCGAGATGGGCGCAAAGCCGGTGCGCATAGACCTGACTGGCTTCCAAACCCACGAGCACTTCCGGTACCTGACCAAGTCGAGCGTGCACGAGCTGAGCGACGTCAACGAGCTGGAGTTGTTCGAGACGACGGTGTACGCCATGCAGACCATAGGCATAAGTGAACAAGAGCAGCATCAAATTTTCCGTGTGCTAGAAGGGATCTTATATATCGGCAACGTCCTATTCAGTAATGATGAAAGTAAGGAAGAGTGTCACATTATGGATGATTCCCTTTCGGATTTGCATAAAGCTGCATCTTTTTTAGATGTAGATGCAGAAGAATTGAAAAATGCTCTCTGTTACAGAACCATTGTAGCAAATAATGAATGTTATAAAAAGCCAGTGAATGCTGTCGTATCGAATGACGTGAGGGATGCACTAGCAAGAGCCATTTATGGGTGTCTTTTTTTAAAGGTAGTTGAAAGAACAAATGAATCAGTAGGGTTTTTAGAAGACATGAATCTGCTCTTTTGTGGGGTTCTAGATATATTTGGGTTCGAATCTTTTGCATTCAATTCATTTGAGCAATTATGTATCAACTACACAAATGAGTGCTTGCAGCAATTTTTTAACAACTTCATATTTAAGTGTGAAGAAAAGTTATACGTTGATGAAGGAATTGAATGGGATCCATTAGACTTTCCGGACAATGCAGAATCGATCCATTTACTTGAATCAAAACCATATGGTGTGTTTTGTATGTTAGATGAAGAATGTTATGTTCCATCTGGCAAGGACAAAACCTTTTGTAGCAAAATTATTAGTAAGCACAGTTCTGCTGTCAGTAATGGAAGGAATAAATTTATGGCTGTGAAGACGGACCCGTCCTCATTTGTTATTGTTCATTTTGCAGGAAAAGTTACTTATAATTCTTCAGGGTTTTTGGAAAAAAATAAAGACCAGCTGTCTTCAGATGTACAGAAGGTTCTTCTGAACAGCCAGAGTGAATACACCTCATCTCTTTTTTATAAATATTTACGAAGGAATGTAGAAAAAACAAGGTTTCAAACGGTTTCCAGTGAATTCAAGGAACAGCTTCACCAACTTATGAACAGGATAAAACAAACGCAACCCCATTTTATCAGGTGCATTAAACCTAATGCTCACAACGTGCCGGACATATTCGATCGTGTTTCTGTAAATGAGCAACTCAAGTATGGAGGAGTGTTACAAGCCATAAAGGTTAGTCGTTCTGGGTATCCTATTCGACTTACACACACAGACTGTGTAAAGGATTATTCTATTTTGCTTAACAAGGAAGGGAAAAAGCTATTTAAGGATTATCAAGCAAAATCCTGGGCACAGAAGGCCACCTTTGTGTTGAAGCAGCTACACCAATGTGACGCCATACAAAACTTAGTTCGCTCATTAGGGGAAGCGAAGGAACAGAGACAGAAAGAAGAAGCTGCAGTCAGGGGAGGTATGAACAAAGATGTTAATGGTGATTATAAAGGTATATCTTATAATAATAATACTTGTAGTGCCCTCATCTGGGCAGTGGGTAAATCTCTTTGCTTTTTTAAAAGCGATGCATACAATATTTTGTCCACCCTAAGAAGTGATTTCAGATCCACGCAAGCAATAGTCATACAAAAAAATTACAAAGCGTACCGGCAGAGGAAACTTTTCATCACGATGAAGAAGAAGGTAGTGTTGTTGCAGAGGTGGGTCAGACATATCCTTTTGGTCATTCGAAATGAACGCACAAAGGTACAGCGAGCCACACAACTCATTTGTCTCCACATATATGGTTATAGTGTAAGAAAAGCTTTCCTGCACAAGAGAAAATGTGCCATCATTATACAAGCACACATAAGAGGGTACTTAACAAGGAAGCATTACGAGGACTACAAAATTAATCACTACGCAAGTGTTATAAAAGCTACCTGGAAGATGTACAAGGAGAGGAAATTATTTAATAATATGAAACGAGCTGCTCATAAAATACAATACAAGTGGAAGGAAATTTTAGCAAGGAGACAGTTGAGGAGACTAAAGGAGGAAGCCAAAGAAATCGGAGCTCTTATTCAGAGAAACCAATGCCTAGTGAAGGAAATTGAAAATGAAAGAAAAAAAAAAATGGAAGCTGAAAATAAATTGTTAAAAGCGTTTGCTAGTGTGGAAAAGCTAGCCAAAAGAGTCGACATGCTGGAAAGGAACAACAGGGAAAATGAAAATGTGATTAAGGGCTTGATGGAGAAGCTGACTCAGGCTAATACGCCATCCTCTAGCAGTGAATTACCTACCGAGTGCACAAGGATAAGGGTGGCACCTGCCCTACCCCGTAGAGAAGACACTGTGGTAGCCGAGGCATCAGCTGCAACGTCTGTTACCACCGCGGTACCAGAGGTTGACACACTTCCACGCCCAGACGATGTAGAAACCCTCCTGACCAAAATAAACAAATTGGAGTCAGAAAATAAGGAATACTTAAAGAAGCACAACGCACTGAATGAACGATACAATCAGTTGCTAGGGATTCTGTCTCACTTTAAAAGGAAGGAAGTGTGCGTTGAGTGTGGAGGACAATCGGCGAAGTTGTTACAGAGGGGGTCAGGTGAGGAGAGACGCGCGAATGAACAGCATAGTGAGACTTGCACCGAGCAATGTGTTGAAAAGAGAGTTGCACGAAGCGGAGACAGGTGCGATGAACACGTGAATGTACGAAGAACAACGCACCGCCAAAAGGGAAGGGATGTGGACATACTGATGTGTGGGCCCAAGGGAGTTGGCAAGACAAGTTTACTGGAAGATCTGTTTGTTAGAATAGGAGATGAAATAAATCTTAATTTGTTAAGAAAAAATAAAAAAAAAAATACAGATGAGAGTAATTCATTTATATACGACACGTATGTTGTGACACATAAGTCTTGTTCAGTAAAAATATGTGATTGTATGTATAGTTGTAGCAGGAGTGCAGAAGAAGGTCTTTTGAATTTGATAAAGAATTCTGCATGTATCGTTGTTGTGTTCGATTCAAGTAACAGTGATTCCATTCATCCAGCCTTACACCTTCTTCAAGAAGCAGCTTTAACAAATGTAAAGAGAAGGACTAAACTTTACCTACTAGAAAATATATTCAATGAAAAAATAAACATGAAACAAAACACATGTGATGTTTCTTACTCATTGCGAGTTGCTAAAGCATGCAGTGCACATTATGTTAAGGCACTAGATATATACGATATTGTAAATAATTTTGTTTGTGGAGCCAAGGCCTACTACTTGTGTTCCCTTCCTGGGCAAACATACAACATGCATAAGAATGAAGATGTGATTCCGTGGCAGCACTCATCAGATAAATATTATCACTTGGCTAAAGAAATGGGAGGAGAAGGTCTCCCTCCAGGTGAATACAACCATACATATATACATACACAGAAAATGGAGAATACAGAAAAATCGTTTATGGAAAAATTTTTCCATATGAATCATTTGAATATACTATCCCCTGAGGAAGAATTTCCTTCAAAATATTTCACACCAAAGAGGGACGAACAAGCGACGCAGCCTAACAAATACAATAGTGTGTACTCCATGGTTAACTCATTTAAATCCCTTTGTAATGTTAATCAGAAGAAAAATTCACCTGTACAATTCCTGAGGGAGTCTATGCCTTTAAACAGTTATGTGTATGGAAGTAAAAAGTATAGTGTGGAAATGGGGAAAGGGTTGCAGCCTATTTATGAAATTACCCTCAAGGGGAGTGTTCCTATCACTTATTTGCTCATCGGGCGCGACTCCATTAACAAGATGCACACACTGCTCGCCGTGGGGTGCAAGGACGGAGTCATTTACGTGTACAAGTGTTTGCGCACCCCCCTGGAGAGCGCCCACGGCGGCTACTACTTCTACCAGGCGGGCTCCGTTAGCGGTACTGGCGGTACTGGGGGTACTGGCGCTACTAGCGGGGTTGGCGGCCTTAGCTGTGACCGCGACGACGGGGAGGACAATGCGAACATCACGTCCGCCAAGCTCATGACCAAGCTGTCAGGCCACAAGAAAGCCATCACATGTCTCGTCTTCACTTTCACAGAAGAAAAAATTATTTCTTCCTCAATTGACCGCACCATAAAAATATGGGAGGTCAGCACCGGATTTCTGTTGAAAGTTTTTTCAGACTCTTCTGCTACTCTCTCCGTGTTGTTGCTGCCCACCAATCTGGACCTGTTCCTTTGTTCCAACTGCACATCCCTCCTTCGCATGGTAAACCTAAACACAGGTCACGTGCATCAAAAAATTAAACTTGAAAGTGAGATCAGGACACTCGAGATGGATGATACTGGACTTAATATCTTTGCAGGGTCTAAGAATGGCACCATATATATATTGGAAATAATACATAATGAGCGTGTGGAAATTCGATTCAAATTACTTTTTTCGCTTTCACCCATAACTTGTATAAGATTTGTTCCGAAGCAACCTTTTTTGAGTTCTCCTTTAATCATTGTGAACTCGTGTGACAACCATATGGGTATTATTGAATGTGTGTATGGACCCAAGGGAGTGGTCCTCACAAGTCTGTCAGTGAAACATCGTATTAGAATTAATCACGCGCTGCTACCCATACGAAACACCTACTCCAAGTTCGGCGGGGGCTGGGTCATTTCAGGCTCCGAGGATGGAAACATTTACATCTGCTCCCTCTTGCCCCAGTCCAACTACAGGCTCGTCTTTCTCAAACATCACAAGGTGGGGCATCACACGGAGTGGAAGCGGTGGACAGCGCGGTGCACGCCGCGGTGAACAGAGCGGTGTACAGAGCGGCGGAGAGCACAGCGCAATGGACGAGACGCCCACGTGGGACACTTCACTCGTTGCACCAATTGTCACCCCTCATTTATCTCCTCATTTTCCCCCACCCCTCCGCAGGCACCCGTCATGGCCGTGGTCGTAAACGACATCGACACCCTCATGGTGTCAGGCGACTCCAAGGGAAACGTGGTCTTCTGGAGGCGCGCTTTCGTGTAGGCACGAGGGACCGTGCGCACAAAAACCGTTTGTCCATTTATGTTGCATACTCCGATTGGCTTACCCCCATCATGAAAACTCCTTACAACGAGAGCATGCGACACATCGGTTCGCGCTCTCCCAGATGAGAAAAAAAAAAAAAAAAAAAAAAAAAAAAAAAAAAAA